AAAGTCATGATGTAATAACAATTTCCAGTTTGTAAAACTCCACTGGCAACAGGAACAAAAACTTTTACTAGAATTAAAAAGTTTAGCTGGGCATAATGGCACACGCCTATAATCCCAGCACTTAGAAAGCTGAGGCAGGAAGAGTGCCGTGAGTTTAAAGCCAGCCTGGGTTACATAGTGAGTTCAAGGCCAGTCAGAACTACACAAGACCCTGTCTCCAAAACAAAACAAACAAAAATCAGATCTTTCAAAAGTGGAAAAACCAGTTTTAAAATATAGCCAAAGATGCTTTCATTTGATGTGAAGCTATACATATTTAGCATAGGCGGACATAGTGGCATACGCCTGTAATCCCAGCACTTGGGAGGCTGAGGCAGGAGGATCGTCGTGAGTTTGAGGCCAGCCTGGGCTACAAAGTGAGCTCAAGGCCAGCCTGAACTGTCTCAAAAAGACAAAAATAAAAAATATATATATCTATAGATCTATATATATAGATCTGTATATATATCTATGTATTTAGAGTCACAAGTTCACTTGTAAGAATTCTTCAGTTGGACGTGGTGGCACATGCCTGGCATACCAGAGCTCTAGGAATGTACAGCAGGAAGACTGCAAGTTCAAGCCCAGCCTGGGTAATTTAACAAGTTAGTGAGACCCTGCCCCAACATAAAAAAAATAATAAAAAGCACTAGGGAAGTATCTCAGGCCCTGGATTCAATCCCCACTATTGGAGAAAAAAAAAAAAATATCAACAACAACAAAAATATCTCATTGAGTTATTGATATTAAAGCAAGGACTGACGTCAAAACTTTTCTGGTGGGGGTGGGGGAGGTGGGAAGTATAAGGACTGAACCCAAAGGCTTCAAACACATGCTAAGCAGCACTGTACCACAGAGCTACATGTCCAACCCCTCCAAACCTTTATCCCAAAAAGCCAAGTCTTTTATATGACATAGTCAAATACAAAGCTCTCACTAAAACATTGTATTTATTTATTTATTTTGGAAACAGGGTATCCCTATGCAGTTCAGGCTGCGTATGTACTCATGCTGGCCTTGGACTCAATGGGATTCTCCTACCTCAGCCTCCTGTGCACTGGGATTACAAGTGTGCCACCATACTAGGCTACTAGGCTAGTACATTTTTTCTTGCGGGGGGCACTCCATTCTTTTTCTAGGCCAGCCTGAACTACACAGCAAGACCCTGTCTCAAAAAAAAAGGGGGGGTGGCACTAGGGATTTAGCTCAGAGGCACAGCGCCTGCCTGGCAAGCGCAAGGTCATGAGTTCGATTCCCGGTACCAGAAAAAAAAAAACCAACAAAAAAAATTTCTCTATTTTTCTTGTTTTGGTATGCATGTATCAGCAAAGCCAGGCACATTTCATGCACAAACACACATGTTAGATGGGTACTGAGGACAGGCATCCTCCTCCAGCTTGCTTCTCTACCGATGTCAGTCCCTATTCAAAACCCTTTTGGTGCCTTCTCTCTGGTCTGGATAGCACAGTAATGGCCACTGGTACCTTCTACCGCACACACTGCACATACCACATACCACACCAAGTGCTCTGGCCTGTCCACAGGCTGTTTCATCCTCTGCTTGGAACATCTCGCCTCCCTCCCTCCCCCCTGACCAGCCTAAGCATTACCCCCGGAAAAATACCTAAGAATCTACCTGTTGCAATAAGTTTTCCTGGACCAACTCCATTCCCTCTGGCAGCCAAATCACCCAAGTATCCTCCCACCTCATTAATCGGTTTGTCCCATTTTACTACATACACCTCCTACCAGCAACCTGTCTCCTGCTAGACCCAGACTTGCTCCTTTAGGTAGGAATGTTCTTCTCTCAACAAATGCCTGCTCTGCCTCAGAGAAGCTCCCCTGATCATCCTACTGAAAACACCCAGCCTCCTTCCTTCCCTCCCGGGGTCCCTCCGCGGCATAGTGGCGGTGTGCAAGTGTGTTTATTAGTGGAGGGGTCCCTGCCCCCAGTGGGAGCAGGTCTAGTTCACCGTCGCATTCCTATCACGTACAACACAGCTGGCGAACGCTGATCATCAGCTTAAGACACAAAAGAGCAAGGAAAAAGCGCGAGCGCAGGACAGTCCGCGCCTGGTTAGACGAGGTCCAAGATCCGCTCTAAAGACAAGAAACGTGGGGCTGGGGATTTAGCTCAGCGGCACAGCGCTTGCCTGGCAAGTGTGAGGTCATGAGTTCGATTCCCGGTACCGGAAAATAAAACAAAACAAAACAAGAAAACCCTCAAAAAGACAAGAAACGTGAGCCCACTCCCCGCTGTGACCGCCGGGAAACCTGGCGACATCGCTGCCGGCAGCCTCTCCGCTGTCCCCACCCGGCCTACCTCGGCGTCGCGGTTCAGACGGTACACGTAGAGCTGCGAGGTCCCGGCTACCACGAGGTTGCGCTCGCTGTTGTTGAAGAAGTTGCAGTACATCGCGAACTCGAGGCCGGTTGGCGGGTGCGCCTGCTTGTACACGGCGTACATGGCGCCGTCACCGCCGCCGCGGCCTGCTACGTGCGCCGACTGGGGAAACCTTGATCGTGCCGATTTTGCCCAGCAGCGCGGAAGCTAAGCTCTAGGGATCCAGGCTCCCGCACCTGCGCAGTGCGCCCGGCGGGAAACGAGCAATTCGGAGGACCCGAACGATGGAGAACTCGGCCCGGCCGCTTTCGACAGCCGAGTTCCAAGGTTCCGTGCTCGCACAGAGGTTCCCAGCTCCAGTGCCGTCAAGTGCCGCCAGGAGGGCGCCTGCAGACTAACAGCGGCCCCTGCCGGCTGGCGGAAGTATCATCGGCTGGGGCTGGGAGGCAGGGTCTTCCTCGCACTGCGGCAGGGTATTAGCCATGACTCTCACACAGGACGGCGAAGTACCTGTGTCCAGGGCCTTGGAGTCCTAGGAAGTAAAGCAAAATAGTATAGTCACACACCATAATAGGACATGCAAACGTGTTTATGTCACACCCAAAACCTGCCGGCTTCTTCACTGAGCAGTGAACAAAGTGCAATTTGGATGCCCAGGGTGATGGGTGAACCCTAATCCACACACTCAAAAAAAAAAAAAAAAAAAAAAAGAGAGAGAGAAAAAAAGAAAATGTGCTCTGAGCTCCTGACCATCTGTATGAGGTGGGCACAAGGGCTTCAGGGTACAGAGCTGCAGGTGGCCTCTACTTCATGAAAGGTGAGGTGAGGCTGTTAGCAAAGGTGGGGGCTGGGAAACACTGGCAAAGGATGCTGATGCAAGGAGCTATGATCTGCGCCAGGCATGGAGGCCCACACCTGTAATCCCAGCACTTGGGAGGCTTAGGTGGGAGGATTGTTGCAAGTTCAAGGCCAGTTTGGGCTACAAAGTGAGCTCAAGACCAACCTGAACTGCATAGCAAGACCCTGTCTCAAAAAGACAAAAAAAAAAAAAAAAAAAAAAAAAAAAAAAAAAAATAAAAAATTCCTTAAAAGTCTTTAAATATTTCCAAGAACTACCAGAGTCCAAAACACATGAGCATGGTCCTGTCTCCATTATACGGCGTCTGGGTTTTTTGTTGTTGTGTTTAGTTTTTTTCAGATAGGTCTCCCTAAACTGGCCCTGAACTTCTGTGCTCAAAGCACCCTCTTGCCTCAGCCTCCAAAGTACTGAGACTACAGGTGAAGATGTCTTTTTTTTTTTTTGGTACCGGGAATTGAACTCAGGACCTTACACTTGCCAGGCAAGTGCTTATGCCACTCAGCTATATCCCCAGTCCCTAGGTCTGTTTTTAATAAGCAAGGCAGTCCGCAAAGAGCCTTAGGCAGGCCTGGCAAAAGCTGAAGGGGAAGGCCCCTGAGGGAGTGAGCCAGACACGGAAAGAGAAGAGTTCAAAGGAGGGCAGTAGGTAGAATGTGCCCTGAACCGGGTGTGGTGGCGCACATCTGTAATCCCAGCACTTGGGAGACTGAGGCAGGAGGATCACTGCGAGTTTGAGACCAGCCTGGGCTACAAAATGAGTTCAAGGCTAGCCTGAACTGCATAGGGAGACCCTGTCTCAAAAAAAAAAAAAAAAAAAAAAAAAAAAAAAAAAAAAGGAAGGAAGAAAGAAACTGGAGCTATACTGTGACAAGCCAAGGAATACTTGAGCTCACCAGAAGCCAGGAAAAGCTCATAGAATAGATTCTATCCTCGTTTTTAGCAGGAACATGGCTCCACTGACACCTTGACTTTGCACATCGAGTCTCCAGAACTGTGAGAAAATACATTTCCGTTGTTTTATTTGTTTTGGTTTTTTTCCGGTACCGGGAATCGAACCCACAACATTGCGCTTGCCAGGCAGGTGCTGTGCCACTGAGCTAAATCCCCAGCCCCACTTCTGTTGTTTTAAACACCCAATCTCCAGTAGACTGGTTACAGCAGCCCCAGGTGACTACTGCAAGGCGGCTCAGCATAGGTACTCCAGCCAGGAACAGTGTGCAGCAGCCCTATGGCTGTAGGTTGCCATGTTCTGATCTGATGATCCCTAGGCTTGTTTTCCAGAGAGAAACAAGCTCCGTCTGTGTAAGCATGGTTGGTGATATTTTTATTACGATTCTTGTTCTTGTGGTTCTGGGGGTTGAACCCAAGGCCTTGTACATGCTAGGAAAACAATCACTGATGTATTTTGTTTGGTTTGGGTTTATTCGACATAGGATGTCACTATGTAGTCTAGGCTACCTTGGAACTCACTATGTAATGCAGACTGGCCTCAAGGTAATGCTCCTGGCTCAGCCTCCTGGCCCTGGGATCACAGGCATGCACCACCACTTTGCTGCACGTTGGTGTTGACTGGGGATAGGGACCCACCTGCACCCCCTGCACCCTGGAGAATTCCTGACCTTGCTCTCCAGGTGAGTCTGTCTCCAAGAACACGGCTGGCTGCCTGGAGATGCCAAAGTGAGGCTATGCCCAGGTGTGTGTAGGAAGGAGTGCCCCGCAGGCTGGGCCTTTGGAAGGTGAGAAGGACAGCACACAGGCTGCAGGGGTGGGAGCATCTTTATTGAGCGGGAAGCTGTGGGGGAGGGGAGTAACTGCGGCCACTGGGCAGTTCACAGAGTTTGAGATGCCCCAGGGCCGGGAGGCAGAGTCGAGGGTTGCACAGTGGGAAAGGGCTACGAGAAGGTGATGTCCTCCTCGTACAGCGACAGGAGCAGCAGGATGGTCCAGCCGGCTAGCAGGCCCACGTTGTGCAGCAAAAAGAGGAGCCAGGGTCGCCGGTCCCGCACGTTCAGCATGGCCGGCAGCTGGGGAGGTGAGCAATGGGTCAGCGGCCGGCTCCGCACCCCTGCTCCTCCACCCATCCCGGGGCAGGCCCTACCGGGCCAGCACACGAACCATGTCACAGAGCGCCACGTAGAGGAAGAGGCCAGTGGCCACCGCCAGGATCCAGGCCTCGCTGTCGTCACCGATTCTGACCGCGAGCGCCACGTAGAGACCGACGAAGGCCGTGAGCGCCGAAGCCAGGTTCAGCAGCAGAGCGCGCCGTACGGTCAGGCCCGCGTGCAGCAGAGCGGCGAAGTCCCCTGGGGCATGGTCGCGTAAGAACCCCGCGCCCACCAGGGGCCCAAGCCTTCAGGAGTTAATCACGCCCCACCAGGGCCCCGCACAACTCACAAGCCCTACCCAGAACCCCGCGCCCACCAGGGGCCCAAGCCTTCAGGAGTTAATCACGCCCCACCAGGGCCCCGCACAACTCACAAGCCCTACCCAGAACCCGCAGCCCGGTCCACCCGGGCAGGCCCCGCCCTCTCACTCACCCAGTTCATGCGGCAGCTCGTGGCAGAACACAGCCAGCGAGGTGGCCAGCCCGGTCTTCCAGGAGGAGGCGAAGGCTGCGCCCACGGCCAGCCCATCGGCGAAGTTGTGCACCGCATCTCCCAGCGTGATTAGGTACGGCAGCAGCCTCAGCTCTGCGGGAACGGTGGGAGTGGGTACGCTCGGAGCTCGGTCCCTCCCGCCCCCTTCACCCCACAAACCCCCTGGGGCGGCCCTTTGAGGCTCACCTGAGCTCATCTTCCGGGGCTCCAGGTGCAATAGCTCCGGGTCCTCTTCCGCTACCTGGAAGGAGCCTGGGTGAGCTAGGAGGAGCGGTTGGGGTAGGGGCGGGGACTCGGCAGGGTTGGGGGCAACCCACTTACCAGGTCCGCGCGGGAGCCCTCGTGGGACTGCTTGGGCTGCCGGAGCTCTCTGGGAGCCAGCTGAAGAGATACGCCGTGGCTGTGTCCTCCGTGGCTGTGTCCGCTGTGACTGCAGGGCCCGGTCTTTTCTGGGTCCTGTGAAGATGGTGGTCAGGGTCTACCAAGTCCCCACCCTGCCCACCTGCCAGGTACCCACGAGCCTGACCTGATCCCTGGGCAACAGGAGGTTGAAGAGGCTTTCAAATAAGAAGAAGAAGTAGAGGCCTCCGAGCACCACGAGCAGACGCCAGGTGGCCTGTACGCCTGCAGCCTCTTGGTGCACGTGGTCCTCTGTGCTGTGGCTGTGTGTGTGCAGTCCCAGCACCTGCGGAGCAGAGGCGGTTGGGCTTGGGACTTGGACTGGGGAAGAGAGAGGCAAGGGAGGACCCTGAAGGATGAAGGCGTACCTTGGGTGTCAGGTGCAGCAGGGCGTCACCAGTGAGTGCACCCACGGCCAAGCTCAGGAAGGTCTGCATGACGTAGTGTGTGACTGTGCTGCAGCTGGTGCAGGTCAGCAGCAGGAGGCCAAAGACTGCGCAGAGGCAGATGACCAGTGTGGCCAAAGATCCATACAGGTACCCTACGGTATAAAGTCACACTGAGCCCCCTTCTTTCCAGGGAGACACCCAAGTTGGACCCAGGAGTGAGCAGCAGCAGGTCAGAGATATATATAACAGCAAGGGTCAGGCCTCTGCTTGGGCTGCTACTTTCCCCCAACCCTTGTCTTTCTCCTACCCTTGTCCTCTTCCCCAGCTCCCTTTTGCAGTACT